TGAAGACAAGGCTGGTGTAGCCTACTGTTTAGTCACTGTCTTCTTTAGCTTTATAGTGTTAGTTCGACCTCGTTTTCGCAACTTGGTCGGATCGTCAGGAAGACCTTGTGGAGGGCACCTAATCATGTGTCCTCTGCCATGGTATTCGGGATTTCTAGCATCTGACCATTGACTTGGCAAATTCCCTAATAGACGCGAGTGATGCCACACAGGTTGGACAGAATATTGCCCAAGGAGATTGCTTTTACTTGCCACTGATAAGTCGTAACTGCGCTAACGATGGCGCCTCTCACTGACGATGCCGGCAAAACGTTTGGGAATCTACCAAGTCAATAGTTCGATGCTGGAAATTGCGAATACTATGGCGGAGGAAATAGGACATATGGTGTGTTCCAGTAGGCCTCCTTCACGCTCCGACCAATTTGCGATAACGAGGTCGAACCACCATAAGGAATATCTCTGTTTATTTTATCCTGACAAAACTGTTATAAAAGAAAAAAAGTATTTAAATTTACCTCTGCTATTTTCTCAAGTTCATTTTCTATTTTACTCCATATTTTCCATTTCAAAATGCAAATTTGCAACTTAATTCCCTCTTGTGATTGAACATTTCTTACAAAGGTCATAATATCTTGCCAATTCGCAGTGATATTCCAATCATATTCTATTATTTTACTTTATGCATTCCAACCTTCAGGTAGCAGACTACACATTTAGCATCCAGCCTTCATGTTTTTACAGTTTTAGGGGAAATTTAATCCTTATTAAATAATAATAAGATTTATCCTTTTTTATGTTTTTTTTACTTTAGATTACTAATAATTTGGATTTGAAAAACCCACACTTCCGTTACACCGGCTATCCTCCTGCTCCCCCTCCTGGATCATACACAAAGTCTCCTACTGAACTTTTTTATGCTCAGGCCGCATCTAACGCTGCTAATGCGAATGCCTCAGTTGTAGCAGCTTCTGGCCTTGTTCCTAATGCGAATCCAACTCCTGGCGATGCTACTGATGGTAACCTTGGTTCTAGTGGTCAAATCACGGTTTACCAGCCTACCGGCGGTCTTTTATTACCCGAGGTTTCAGCTCTTTTTCCTACCCATTCTGGTCCTGGAATTCAAAGTCTTTCGGTTTGTCTTGCTTACCTTCCTTTTTTCAGTATTACCGACTGATTTTTTTACTTTAATGAGACGCATGAAATAGAGTTTATTTGAACCATGCACTAAAACTGCGTGAATTTGAGGTAAAACTGGGGTTTGAGAGATCCCTTAAAAATAGCCATTATCGTATCTTTCAATTCGCTTGAAAAGGTTTTTTTAGGGAATTCGTAGATTTGCCTTAAAGTTCTGACCCATGGATTAACCTGATAAGTTTTCAGCTCGCCGTTCTGCACCTCCGCTAAATCCGTGCTGATATTTTTTCTGTAATGTGACAAGTATCGTTAGAGCCAGAAATCATCTTTTACAAAAATATCCCCTAAAGCGCTGAAATAATAACTGAAATGTCAACTACGTTTTATCCCTAATTTTGCGATCCCACGATTTGTTTGGCTACTTTATTTGTTAGATGCTCG